TTACTTATTTTTCAATTGAATCTAATTGACTACCTAATTGAATGACACCTATGCATTGGGGCCTCTTTTAATTAATACAAAATTGAGGTTACATCTTTTCAAATGTTCCTCAATTAATATATAGGGGATATGTAACTAACATTAAAATAAAAACTTGTTATTGATTTTAGGTTAGAATTAATATAAATCTAGGGTTTAACAAATAGAAAATTAAACATATTCTTTATCTATTTAAAAAGTTCTTTAAGTTTTTTTTTAATTATTTTGTTGGTTTATATTTTTAATGGGGTCAAATTTTCATTTTTATTGGGGTCAATACAATTATTTTGATTAAAAATAAATATTTTTTAAAAAAAAAATGGGGTCAGGTGATCCCACTCCTCTCATGCTGCCTCCGCCCCTGGTTGCGGATACCAACACCATCTTCTGATATAGCTAGGCAAGAGATAGTAACTAGTATTTACTATACTGTCAACAAATTATTACTTTAAAGGAATTTTAAACAAATAATATTAATACTTTAATGCAATTTATTATATATCTAAGTTTTAGGTACATAATTAAACTATACCACTCATGAAAACACAAGTGTTTCTATGGATTTTCATAAGATTCTCAGAACTTCTCATATCAATATTTATCTTCACTCTCTCTTACAAATATTTTTTACTCACAAAAACTTCCTGTGAGATACTTGCAATATAAATGTTCTAAAGACATCCACAATGGTAGACATTTTGAAGATTTGTCATAAAAAGTTATTGAATAAAGTAAAAGAAGAGAAAATGAAAATGAAAATTATCTGGTTTAAAAGACTAAGTTGCATTTTATAGGAACATTATTATACACGAAACATAGTAATTTTTTGTTGACAAAATCATTTTATCCTTGTCACTTTTTAATCATCAAAGTTTTTCGAAAATTAGAATATGTAGAATTTGTCACTAATGCTGATGGCTACTATATAAAATTGAATTGGTATTACTTAAAAAAACAAAATTGGGAGTTTTAGCTTATTCTTTTTTCACTAGTTTTAGCTTATGCAATGAAAAATGGCACAATAAAAATATAATAACAATAAAAAGGTAAGGGAAATTCTCTCAAATAGATTTTTTTATTAGTTTTGTCACAAAAATATAATTCAAAAACCAAAATAACCAAAATAGCATTTTTAATTTAGAAAATTTTAATTTTATTTTAATTTTTTAAAATTTGAAATCCTATCACCAAAACATCCTCAACTCTAAACCCTAATGCTGATGGCTAAACTCTAAATCCTAAACCCTAAACCTCACCTCTTAACTCTAAACCCTAATGTTTAGATTAATTAAGTTTAGAGATATAAATATATATATATATATTTACTTCTTTTAATAAAAAATTTAAGTCTATATTAATCATTTTTATTTTTAATATCTATATTTATGACAAAAATTAATTTCTCAAAGGGTAACTTCAAAGAAATTATTTAACAGAAACCCATAGCTGGAACTTTTTTAATTTAACTCTAAATCCTAAACTCTAAACTCTTCAACTCTAAATCCTAAACTCTAAACCTTAAACCGTAAATTCTAAATCCTAAACCCTAAACCTCACCTCTTAACTCTAAACCCTAATGTTTAGATTAATTAGTTTTAGAGGTATAAATATATATATTTACTTCTTTTAATAAAGGAAAAATTTTCAAAATAGCATATTTCTAAGTTTATGTCCCAAAAATAGTCCTCAAAAACTAAAACGACCAAAATAGCATTTTATCTTGAAAATTATAAAAAATTTTAATTTTTCAAAAATTGAAATCTTATCCCTAAAACCCCATTCCCCAACTCTAAACCCTAAAACCTAAATTCTAAACCCTAAACCCTAAACTCTAAACCATAAACCCTAATAAATCCCATCCTTTAACTCTAAACCCTAATGTCTAAATTAATTTATCATTGGGATATAAATGTATATTTATCTCTTTTGATAAAATATTAAATGCTATTTTGGTCATTTTTATTATTTAAGTGCTATATTTGTGACAAAGGCTTTTTTAATGTTATTCTAGTTATTTTCTCTTTAATAAAATATTTAAATTTATTTTAATCATTTTTATTTTTAAGATATTTGTGATAAAAGATAACTTCAAAGAAAGTATTTGACAGAAACCCATAGCTGGAAATTTTTTAATTTAGCTTTATACATCAGCACAAAATTTGTCTAAATGCATCAAAGAAGCTTCCAGTAACCCTCTGTATCGGTCATCCTCTCTCTTCGCTCGATCAAAGAGAAGAATGGTCAGGTATATGACGTAGAACCATGGCAAGAACTGGTTCAAGCAACAGCCGGAAGAACTACCATTCTTAAAGTGTATATGAATATGATTTCCTTATAAACTCTGATGAGCCTGAATTTGACTAGAAGTAGGCATTGTTCAATCTGGTGTTTGGTCCGGTTTCGGTTCGTTTTTTTCTGTTTTCGGTTATTCGGTTTATAAAAATTAGCTATCATATTGGAACCATATTTAATTTTGTTTGGTTCGGTATTTATACTACCGGTTTACGGTTTATTCGGTTTTATACCAAATAACATTATTATTTAATTTGGTTTCATATTATATGAATTTAAAAAAAAAACATATTGTCAAAACTATCATTTATTAAAATAATCCTAGGTGCTCATAAATATAAAAATGTGAAATTAACAACAAACAAAACGACCAACGATTCAGTTTTGTAAAGTTTTTCTTATTTTCTCTTTGTTCTTACAAATAAATTACATGGTACAATCTAATTTCACAATTTCTTACAACATGCAAATCAAATCAAATTTAGATAATAGTTGAAGAAAATAATAAACTTATTAAGATATATCTTTAAAAGGAATAAAAAAGTAAAAAAAAAGATTATTCCAAGAAAATAAATGGTTATATAATGTATATATTTATATATTTTTTCTTGGATCGATTTGTTCGGTTTATTTGGTTTAATTGGTTATAAACCTAACCATATCCAAATCATACGGTTTTTATAAAGGAAAAATAATTGCCAGCTACCTGAAGTATCGACCACTACATGGCTGACCATGCAAAGTAAAGAAATGCACACTCAACTACATGAAGTATATGATATGCATACTAACATCCATGAACTTTATGTTGTTATGTAGCTAACATCACATGATTAATTATATTAATTATATCACAAGGCTAATTACATTAATATAAAATANGAAAAATAATTGCCAGCTACCTGAAGTATCGACCACTACATGGCTGACCATGCAAAGTAAAGAAATGCACACTCAACTACATGAAGTATATGATATGCATACTAACATCCATGAACTTTATGTTGTTATGTAGCTAACATCACATGATTAATTATATTAATTATATCACAAGGCTAATTACATTAATATAAAATATAAAATACATTTTAAGATATGGAAAATCTTTTTTTTATTTGATGTTTTTATTATCAAGAAAGTTTTTATTTATTTTTTATTTTATAAATTTGTGTACATTATTATATAAAAATATTTAAATTTATATATTTTAAATAGTTTGCTAGTTTAGCATTTATTTTCATATATATAAATAATTATTTATTTATATTTAGAAAGTAAGGATAGAAAAGTATTTTGTTTTTTTAATGAAACTACATAATTGTGTATATTTGAAAATGTTCATTTAAGGAATGTATACATGAATGATGGTATCAAAAGTGAGGTAAAAGTAAAATTTCCCTATTATTTTGTGTTAGGTTAAATAAAACATTTTGTATATAAAATAATGTTTTGGATTTTAAATAGTTAAGTCATTTATACAATTATTTTCAAAACATTTTTATATCCTTATAGACATTTTCAATAAACTAAAAGGTTTTTAATAATTTATTACAAAATCATTTTGTAATAAAATACTTAAATTTTTTTTATTAAAAATGATTATAAAGACATTTTAAAGATATAAAATGTTTTGAAAGTATTTTATTAAATTACTTAAATATTTTAATAATTATTTATATTTATATGTGTTTATAAAATTTGTAGAAAGGTCTTTTTTCATTTAGTGGAAAATGTATTTGTAAAATTATCTTCTTAATGAAGGAAAACATGAAATGTGCTACAACAAATATGGTAAAAATAGAATTTCACTAACAAATCACATAGAAAAATAAATGATAAATTAACAAACTATTAAAAATATAAATTAAAATAAAGTTAAAAGTGTTTTCTAAAATAACATTAATTTTTAATATTGTTGTATAACACTTTTTAAAATAAAAATATTCAAAAAAAAGATATAGAATATTTTCCATATCATGAAACATTTTTATATTTTATACTTCTTATTAATGTAATTAACCTTGTAATGTAATTAATTATTATCAGATTTGTGATGTTAGCTACATAACAACATAAAGTTCATGGATGTTATTATGCATATCATATACTTCATGTAGTTGAGTGTGCATTTCTTTACTTTGCATGGTCAGCCATGTAGTGGTCGATACTTCAGGTAGCTGGCAATTATTTTTCCTTTTATAAATCATATCCGTTCGGTTTATGTGGTATATACCAAATCCAAACCATATTGTCTATTTCGGTTCGGTTCGATACGGTCCGGTATTACCATATTGAACAGTCCTAACTAGAAGTCACTCATGAAAGTTATAATTGTGGTATCCTGTTCAGGACCCGTGATTGTTTAATTATGAATTTAGATTGTTTGATACGTGTAGTGCTAAGTCAATGCATTTATATAGATGAACAAAGCATTCTTGGGTTACTTGTTTACAAGTTCTAGGGGTGAGGAACATCCTTATGGATCAAAGGATCATTGAGCATCATTACCATGTTCTTGCCAAACAAGAACTCACCAAGGTCTAGTTTCTTGCAGATTTTCGCTTCTTTATTTAGTTACCGTGATTGGTTTTCTGATATACAACATTGTGTTGACGTATCAGGAGCATATAGTGTGGAAGACCGAGACTGCAAGAATGTTCCTGAGCTTGGCCAGAGTCATGTAATAGAACTCGGAATGTTGGGACTTTATTGAACAGAAGTAGGAGAAAAGAGCTCGCTGAATCATACTCTTTACTGATGTTTTAACGTTTTAGCGTTGTGTCATTTCCAAGTAGTGTAATGTTCTTTTCTTTATATCTTCTGATGAAACTGTGAATCTGTACTAGTATACACCTCAGAAGCAAAATGGTTTACAAAATGATGTATTTGATTATCATCTCTTTCTTCTTCTTCGTCAAACTCATACGTATATTCCTAAAATCACCTCCTTGGGGACAGTTTCAACCATCCAGGGTGGCCTTTAAATCATAAGTAAGAAAGAAAAAAAACAAAACTACATTACTAAATGAAAACAAGGGAGATAAAAAAATGGGTAAAGAATAAAATAAAGATGGCTCACTTGTTTAGAATGAAATTGAACGTTCCTTGTGACGCACGTTTAAGAAGAGCTTCCCTTGCCTCCACTGCGATCCCTTGAGGCTGCATTCAAAAATCACACTTCAATGTAAACAAACAAACAAACAAACCTTAACATCAGTTTTGTAAACACACGGAGAGAGAAGACACCTCTTCTGGAAACCAAACCCCTGGTTGTGTACTTCCTTCAAGCATTGCTACAACAAAAGCTGCGGTTGAAACTCCAACGGCTCTGTAAACTCAAGAGATTTAAATTTTTTAAAGACAGCTCTAGGTAGGCGCTTGTCACATGTGTTCTGTAAACAAAAATATAAGGATGAGAAAGAGACTCACACGGATAGTTTTTTATGACTATATAACCCAACAGCGATTCGTCCATCCGAGCACTCCAAATCAACCTTTCCAAAGAGGTTAAGATGAGAAACAAACAACGAGTGACTAACCGAACTGTAAATAGTTATTTCCCCATACCCTCATGGAGACACGCTCTCCAGAAAAGCTATCCGTGGCTCTAACCACAGGGTCGAACAGGTCTACCATTTGTTGGACTTTGGTTCTGTCTCTAAGGACCTCCTAAAGCAAGCATAGCCATTTCATTACATAAAGATATGATAATGAAACTATTGATTCAAGAAAGGGTTTGAGCATGATACCGCTGGCAAGAGCTTTGTCATGATCTCCATCCCCCAGTTCCAGAAGAAAGGAGAGGTGCCGAATCGAGCACTGACAGTTGGCACTCCTAGAACTTCATGAGTTGACCTTACTTCTGGCAAATTCCTACCAAAACAGCCACTGTTCTAAGCAGAAGATGTCAATGGAGCTTTTTGATATGGAGGAGAGACTTACAAAAGGTAAACGTCTCGTTTCCGTATGCCTTTTCCAAAATCAACGTTTATCATTCCACTGTAGGGTTTTAGTTTCACCTTCTCTCCTGATCAAGTCCCAAACAATATAAGTCTGAGAAAATTGCAGAACGATTCACAGTAGAATAAAGAGATGTTTTAACTAAAAGTTCTGTAAACACTTGCCTTGTTTATATGCTGTAACTTCCTCACCAAGAAGTAGAAAACTGGTGGCTAATATTGTAGGACCTGCACCACCAGTTCCTGCTGTGTAATATGAGAACCTGAAATGACGTCATGAGACAAGAAAAAGTCTAATTTAACAATTAAAACGAAATATTTTTTTTGCATTAATAAAAAGCTGAGAAACTTCTTGTGTTACCTCAGTTTCTCTGGCTTCCCTTTATCTTCACTTCTTGCTGCAGCGACCATTTCTGCCGCCATCACTATTAAGAAAGTTTAAACAAGCTTTTGAATATTTGGGATCAATGAAACTATATATTAAACATAAAAAGCATGAGGGACTTTTGATCAGATTAACACCATTGCTAACTCCTGGATATATTCCAGCTGTTGTAATCGCCGGGACATTGGCAGCAACGGCCTCTGTCTGAAGAGATTTTGCGCGGAAAGCGTAGGTTGTGTCATCACAAACATCAAGATAAGCAGTCTGTTACAGACATGAACCAAAAGATTATATATGTAAATTTTCATCTCCTAAGATTCAAACAGACAAGGTAAGATTAAGTGACATAGAAAATGGTTTTTTTTTTTACCTTATCCTCACCTTGGTCTTTATAGCAGCTTCAAGAACAGTGCACTTAGGAGCTTGCTGGAAAGGTCCAGCAGCATGGACTACAAGATCAACGTCTGCATTCAACACACTTCATGGTCAATGCCCAAACTTTGTCTAAACATAATTACCAGAGTCAATTTAATCCAACAATCCCTCTATAAATAGTTAGAATGTTATAACCAGCCTTCGAAAAATCGGTCTAGGTGCCTATCCGCCTAGTCAGCAAATCCGATCTAAACAAATATTTTTCTAAAAGACAGAAAAGATGGGTGTGGGCGCCAACCTAATTATTAATCCTATATATATAGTAGAACTACTGACTAGCGATTTCTTGAACATTGGTTATAACGAATGCAAGAAGATTAACAGAAACAGATAAATAAACAAAAGTTAACTACACAAAGATTTAACATAGTTCACTAAGCCCAACATATACATATAGGGATCATCCAGAATCGAATGGACTCAATAAAGGTGACTAAACTGAAAACTTCTATACCGAATCACAGAAGATTCACGGCATACCAACATACTATCTAGTCTAATTACCCAAATTCTCATCTAATATTCAAGCATATAGACAAAAATGATACGTGTTTGGTGAAGCAAAATTAAACCTCTTAAACTTGTCTGAAGCATGTTACTGTCATTGATATCTACTTGACAAAACTCAGAGTTCTCTCCCAGTTGAGCCACCATTGCTTCACCTTTCTCTCTGTTCCTTCCAGCGACGATGATCTTAAGCTTCGGACAGAGCTTAGAGAGTGCAACAGCAGTAGACCCGCCTACCCGACCCGTTCCACCCAGCACCAAGACCCGGTAGTTCCGTGTAGGATCCGTGAGCTTGACCTCCGGAACGCCGTCGTATTTCGTTTCGTTTGACGAAGATGCTCGTACCGTCGCTCTGTACGGACTGTGCAGGGGCAGAACTCGCGCCATTATTACCTCTCCGCCTGTTTCTCCCCACTCATCACTCGCCTCATCTCGTTAACAGATTTATCGAAGGCGTTGACGTGGCAACCGTCTGGTGATTGATGACGTGTCGAAATCTTGACGGCATTAATTAATAACGCCTTGTGGGTCAGTTTAATACATGGGCTTTTTAAGGGCCACGTCGTTGGTAATAATTGGGCCTAGTAAATAAATGGGAGTTAAAGAAGAAATGGATATTTATATTAGAAAAATGATAGGCCTTATAGATTATAGATGTTTCTTTTTTTTTTTATTGTCATAGATGTTTCTTTTTTTCTTATTTATTGTTTTAAGAGAAATTAGGACGTACACCAAAGAACTTATGTGTATTTAGTGATTTACCAAATTCTACTATTTGTCTTTCGATTGTGTATTTTATGGACTCTGCTACCCCTATATTGGACAGTGTCAAAATCTATGGCTACATGTAGACAAATCGACAAAAAGATCTTATTCTCTGCACCCAAATCTTCATCAAGATAAAGTTTACCAATTTCCTTAAAAATTTTAAAAATTTTGGAATTTAAAATTGTTTCCTATTTTCCTCTTTCATCTCTTTACTTGCAGCTAAACCCCGACCATTTCATCTATACTAATAATTTTGAAACTCAATTTCTTCTGATTAGAAACATGGATTACAATTGTTTATCCTCTCAAAATAGAAGGAATTGACGAGGTAGCACCACCTTGTTTACGACCGAAGAGGATTTTTCTAGGGAGAAGAACCAGTTGGTGTTAGGATAACACAGTATCAGAAATCTTGTTATACTAGACAAGTACTTTAACGCTTTTGAAGTGCGTCGATGTTAGCCGGGTACCTTGGTTGCACTGCTCAAATCCTTAACATGGTCAGCCAAAGTTGTAAATCTAGAACTTCCAATTAGCTGGCTAATATCATATTTGAATGGCTACATATGTTGATACCCGTATAAGGGTAAATCAAGATATGTAGTATGCAAGTTTAGTGTTTAGGGTTTATTGTTTACGATTAAGGGTTTATCGGTTAAGGGCTTATTGTTTCTAGAGACGATTTCTCCCCTAACCGATAAACCCTTAACCGTAAACAATAAGCCCTAAACACTAAACCCTGCATACTACATATCTTGATTTACCCTTATACGGGTATCAACATATGTAGCCATTCAAATAATATATTAGCCAGCTAACCGGAAGTTCTAGATTTACAACTTCGGTTGACCATGTTTAGGATTTGAGCAGTGCAACCAAGGTAGCCGGCTAAACAGATATATGACCATGTTCAGAAAATCATCAAAATATGATTAAAAAACCATTTCGAAATGCTTTTTTCGAATTTGAAACATATAGAATTTAAATATTTACCCATGGGTTCATTGATCCATAGGGGGAGTTTTTGTTTAGATTTGATCGCTTGGGAAGTATTTATTTGGGATTTTCATTAAATGGTTAAGGGTATAAAGATTAGTGGAGGATATAAGTTATTTAATTTTTTGGATTCATTATATGCTCCAATAATCTTCATACCCTTCACCAATCTGCATACCCTCTACTATGTTAAGGGTTTTTTGTTCATTATATCCTCCACTAATCTTCATACCCTTCCCCATTTAATGGAAATCCCAAATAAATCCCAAAAAGATTAAATAACTTATATCCTCCACTAATCTTTATGCCCTTAACCATTTAATGAAAATCCCAAATAAATCCTTCCCAACCAAGGTAGCCGACTAAACAGACGACTTCTCCCCTAACCGATAAACCCTTAACCGTAAACAATAAGCCCTAAACACTAAACCCTGCATACTACATATCTTGATTTACCCTTATACGGGTATCAACATATGTAGCCATTCAAATAGGATATTAGCCAGCTAACCGGAAGTTCTAGATTTACAACTTCGGTTGACCATGTTTAGGATTTGAGCAGTGCAACCAAGGTNTCTTGATTTACCCTTATACGGGTATCAACATATGTAGCCATTCAAATAGGATATTAGCCAGCTAACCGGAAGTTCTAGATTTACAACTTCGGTTGACCATGTTTAGGATTTGAGCAGTGCAACCAAGGTAGCCGGCTAAACAGATATATGACCATGTTCAGAAAATCATCAAAATATGATTAAAAAACCATTTCGAAATGCTTTTTTCGAATTTGAAACATATAGAATTTAAATATTTACCCATGGGTTCATTGATCCATAGGGGGAGTTTTTGTTTAGATTTGATCGCTTGGGAATGATTTATTTGGGATTTTCATTAAATGGTTAAGGGTATAAAGATTAGTGGAGGATATAAGTTATTTAATTTTTTTTGGATTCATTATATGTCCCAATAATCTTCATACCTTTCACCAATCTGCATACCCTCTACTATGTTAAGGGTTTTTTGTTCATTATATCCTCCACTAATCTTCATACCCTTTCACCAATTTGCATACCCTCTACTATGTTAAGGGTTTTTTGTTCATTATATCCTCCACTAATCTTCATACCCTTCCTCATTTAATGGAAACCCAAAAAAATTAAATAACTTATATCCTCCACTAATCTTTATACCCTTAACCATTTAATGAAAATCCCAAATAAATCCTTCCCAAGCGATCAAATCTAAACAAAAACTCCCCCTATGGATCAATGAACCCATGGGTAAATATTTAAATTCTATATGTTTCAAATTCGAAAAAAGTATTTCGAAATGTTTTTTTAATCATATTTTGATGATTTTCTGAACATGGTCATATATCTGTTTAGCCGGCTACCTTGGTTGCACTGCTCAAATCCTAAACATGGTCAACCAAAGTTGTAAATCTAGAACTTCCGGTTAGCTGGCTAATATCCTATTTGAATGGCTACATATGTTGATACCCGTATAAGGGTAAATCAAGATATGTAGTATGCAGGGTTTAGTGTTTAGGGCTTATTGTTTACGGTTAAGGTTTTATCGGTTAGGGGAGAAATCGTTTCTAGAAACAATAAGCCCTTAACCAATAAAACCCTTAACCGTAAACAATAAGCCCTAAACACTAAACCCTGCATACTACATATCTTGATTTACCCTTATACGGGTATCAACATATGTAGCCATTCAAATATGATATTACCCATGGGTTCATTGATCCATAGGGGGAGTTTTTGTTTAGATTTGATCGCTTGGGAAGGATTTATTTGGGATTTTCATTAAATGGTTAAGGGTATATAGATTAGTGGAGGATATAAGTTATTTAATTTTTTGGATTCGTTATATGCTCCAATAATCTTCATACCCTTCACCAATCTGCATACCCTCTACTATGTTAAGGGTTTTTTGTTCATTATATCCTCCACTAATCTTCATACCCTTCCCCATCTAATGGAAATCCCAAATAAATCCTTCCCAAGCGATCAAAACTAAACAAAAACTCCCCCCCTTTGGATCCGTGAACCCATGTAAATAGCCGTACAAGCAATTATTTAAACATCTTTCATGTAAACATCCAAATAGACTCCAACAATGTAAATAGCCGTACAAGCAATTATTTAGCCGGTTAGGCACTTGTATAAGTACAGTTTGTAATCTTATTAAGATAAAATCAGTCCAAAGATATTGTCTATCTAAACATCCAAAGAGATATCCAACAAAGTAAATAGTCCTCTAAACAAATACTTAACTGGTTAGTAACCATGTAAAGGTAAATACTACAACTGATATCTTTCATGTAAACATCCAAATAGACTCCAACAATGTAAATAGTCGTACAAGCAATTATTTAGCTAGCCAACTTCATTTTAATGAATCTGTGTGCATCGGTCCAGCGTATGGGGTTCAAGGGTTTATCATGTGGGATGTGAGTATATTGTTTAGGATTTACGTTTTAATGTAAGGGTTTAGGGTTCAGAGGTTAAGGGTTATGGTTTAGGATTTAGGGTTTACAACATAGGGTTTAGGATTTAGATCTTAGGTTTAATGTTTTTGAGTTAGGGTTTATGGTCTAGGTTTAGGGGTTAGAGTTTAGGGTATATGTTTTCGTGTATAGGAGTCGGGCTTCCAGAAATAAATTCATATACATCACTAGAATATTAAAATTATGGACCGTTAATATTATGTTTGGATGTCTTTCATATTATTAATCGGCTCATCTATTTATTAATCTTTAGTTTATACACGCTGACAAAATTGGTAGTCATTGTGAAAAAACTTACTATTAGTATTTGTGGATGGTTATTAGGACCAATAACCGTCCAATCCAGAGTGTACACATATGTATGTGTGGATGGTCACTACCACAAGTAACCGTCCAATCCCAGTTGTAGACATTTGTGTGTCCATGTTAGCAACTCACCTTCTTTGTACTGAACAAACGTGGTCTGGTCTAGTCTACCAAGATTGTTCATTGGTTTAGGGCTTAGGATGATCTCTTTAACACAAAGTGGAGGACGGTATATGGTTCATGATTTAGACAGCCCCAAAGTGAAGGACGTACAAATACACATCTATACACACATTTTCTGTAATTAGAAGAGGTAAATCTTTGGCCTTAATTCGTTTTTCCCATGCACCGCTTGCGTCAGAAATTGCGTGGACAAGAAGGTTTCTGCAGTTAACACTATTTAAGTGTGTTTACCAATGCAAAATAATAATACCATCTAATATCTAAACAATATCTAAAGAAAATCTAAACAAAATCTAAAGAAATCTTCTACACCTATAAACCCTACACACCTAAGTCCACGGAAGTTGAAATGCAAATAGGGAGGACATTTCTGTCATCAACCATATACCAATCTCTACAACTTTTTGAGTCACGTACTGTTATTGGCATACTCTTAATTTGAGCTTCTTTCATGGTTTTTGACCCAATTTACTCTTGTTTTAATCATCTGTTTTAAAAAATATGTTTTCAGAGAGCAATTATATGTGACGATTGTAAATACCAGTACGGTACTTCAAGTGGTGTGTTTTCGGAAAACAAATAGAAAAAAATTAGAAAAGTTTAACAAATTAATATTTGCAACTTTGCAAGACTGATGAGTACTCAAAATAAAA